AAAGACAAATTGCACTGGAGAAATCTTCCGTTAGGTATCTCTCCAGAATTGCTGAAGAGCAATGATGTTAGTCTGGGGTCTAAGGTACACGTGATCCAGACCACAGTCTTCACAATCATTTGCTATTCATCAGAGGGCTGGACAATGATTAAGGATGATAGAAGAGCTGATGCTTCTTGTGGTGCTGAAAAAGAGTACTGTCCATACTATAGACTGCCAAGGGAACTAACTGTTATGTCTTGGAAATAGCAAAACTAAACAGACCCTTGGAGGCTAGCATTTTGAGACTCTGTCTCACATACTTTGGGCATGTGGCCAGGGAGGACTAGATATCCTTGGAATGGTGGAGGGAGAGCGGAGGAGAGGAAGACCCCAGATGAGATGGATTAATACAATAACCGGGGTAATGAGGGTAGGTATATGAGAGACAGTGAGATTGGCTCAGGACAGGACAGAGTTCAGAGCTATTGTGCATAGAGGTACTATGAGTCATAGTCCACTCAACGGCACATAAATAACAGCATTCTAAATACTGAATCGGACTCATATCATAGATCCAATACTTACTAGCTATGTGATCTTGAGAAAGAAAGTCTCTAGGACTCAAAGTTTCCTCACCTAGAAATTAGGGATTACACAATATACTTCATTGAGCTGTTACAAAGATTTAAAGTGATAATGTAGGTAATATGTTCATCAGAGTGTTCAGCATAAAAAGTGCTTAAAATGGCAAGATTTTTAAAAAATAAGACATGTCCAACCTGATACAAGGGAGCTCTAGCGACCTAGTGGTAAGTGGCTGTGCTGCAAAGCTATAGGCAGGTGAGGTGGTTCAATCCATCAGCTGCTCCATGGGATAGCCTCTGTAAACCCGTCAGAGGGGTGCCACCAACTCTATGGCAATGAGGTTGAACCCCATCTACCCATCACTTTCAGTTCTGACTCTCTGGGAGAGCGAACTGTCATCTTTCTCCAACCTAGTGGCTGGGAGGTTTGATACTAGCAGATAAGCACTTAACCACTGTGCCACCACAGCTCTTTCAATGCAATCCAGACAAAAAAACTAATATACGTAGTTACAGCATTCAGGCTGACACGACTATGATAGAAATCGGGTTCATCTCACATTTCATCCATATAGAAAAGAATGTATGGCTCTGCCAAGATTCCTTGGAGAAATTATGAATCTGCTGTTACTCTTGGGTACAAAACAGATGCCAGCTAGCTAGTATTCTCTAATAGAACTGAGGGTAATTCCTCAAATAGGAGGCCTTCAGTTGATTAGTAATAAGAATAAAAGGAAACTATATACATACGCCAAAACGAGCAAAACAAAACTCCACCAAAACCAATTGACACTTTTTTCTTCTTAGAAAAAAAATGAAAGTTTCCAAGCTGGAATTGTATAATGGATGGTGGTGTGCACAGAGCAATGAATGAAGTAAGAGCTGTGTAACCTATGCTTTCAATCTGGATAACTATGGACCTCTGTTACACAAAGAACTCTTACTCTCCAAAAGATTGTTAAGCAAAGGGGCTGCTGAGTGATATGCAGATATTAACTATAACTGAAAATAACTGAACTTATTTCCCTGATTTCCTGTAACTGGTAAAAAGCACAGTAGCTGAAACAATGATTACAGATCAAACAGGTCCCATCAAATATTGGGGTATTCCATCTTGTCAGAGAATAAAAGTGAAGGGTTCAGCACCCGGTCTCTGTTACATCCCTACTTATTTCAATGGTAGAGATCCACACCTATTTGAGTACTGGCAGCCTTCTGGAACCTACACCTGTTTCCAGTACATTCCGTCTCTCAGTATGTATAAGCAGATAGATTTCTCATCGTTGCCGCATTTGAACTTTAAGAATTTGGAAACTGTCAACTATAGAGTTCTTTGCTCTTGAATTAAATTTTATTTCTTGCTCCAACAATCTAAACTTCCTGATCTGTTAATCATTCTCAGATGTTCACTTGCAGATGTTCAAAGACTGAATTTAGAAAGATACTGATAACAAAAAATCCAGAACAATAGGGAAGGAAAGGGGAAGGTGACTCAATCATGTCATCAAAACTGACCTAGGGGGGAAAAAAAATTTTAAAAAACTGACCTAGGACAGAGACGTAGACAAGAACCTTGTATTAAGTCAGGGACTACCTGTACTAAGAATTAATATAATCAAAATAATTAAGAGTGTGTATGACCACAATCTGGAATAAGAAATGCATTGCAAAGTGGACTGGGAGAAAGTTGGGGGAAGGAGGAAAATGTACAATGAATGAATGAAAACCCAGCCTCTCTGTAAGTCTTCATTAAAATAATAATTAAAATCAAACACAAACTTTAAAAAAAAAAACAACCCAAAATCTAAAAATAATCAAGAGTGGTATACAACATTCAACCTGCAACTGAAGCTACTCCCAGAGGTCACTTTTCAGACAAAATAATAGATTGTTTAGAAAATAAATAATAAATAACGCCTGTGAGAAATGTGTTCCTTCAATCAACTACATGAGACCAAACAGGCAAAATCTATACAAAAGCAAAGATGAGAAGGCAAGAAGGGGCTGGGGACTAGGTGGATGGAAATACCATTTGTCCAGCCAGAGAAGCAATGACAACAGCACAGAAACACTGCAGAGACTGCAACCAAAGTTACAAGACTATTTGTGCATAACTGTTGAATTGAATCCTATTTGCTGGGTAAACTTTTACAATAAAAACAATATTTTTTTTTTCACTTAGATAATAATATTTTTTAAAGAGATGTATCAGATAACAAGTTTTATAACTGAATAAAGAATCTTAAGCCACAAGCAACTCCCAAGTGAGAGTACACTTAACCTTATATTTAAAACTGAGTGAGGAACTATGAAAGGGATATTTGTATACAACAAAATCATGATTGATCAGACTGTAGTTTAAAGAGAGAGAGCTCTGCTGGAAGGATCATGCTGGGTGGGAACAGCATTGTGACACAGGAAGTAATTTTGAGACCAATGCAACTGTTGTTAGGTGCCATCGAGTCGGTTACAACTCATAGTGACCACACACACACACACACACACACACACACACACACACCCCCAGATTAAACCCTGCAGGTTGTTGTCATCTTCAAAAACATTGTTATGCTTGAGCCCATTGCCACAGCTACTGTATCACTTCATTTCCTTCAGGGTCTTCCTCTACTTTATTAAGCATGATATCTTTCTCCAGAGATTGAATCTTCCTAATAACAAGTCAAAAGTGTCCAAGACCACCCTAACATTTAAAGCATTCTGACTGTACAGTCTTCGAAGAAAAATGTGCTCATTCTTCTGTCATTCCATGGTATATTTAAAATTCTTCACCAATACCACACTCTAAATGCATCAACTCTTCAGTCTTTCTTATTCATTGCCTGTAAGACTATTACTTATAATGTTATGACACATTAGAAGTGTGATCAACATCCTATGAGAACACAGAAGGTGTTTTCTGGAGGATAAATAGTTCAGGGGTGTGGTTTTTTGTTTCTTCTGAGCAATATAAATAATCAATATAGATATAAATAAGAGTTGTAGGTGAGAAAGTATATTACATGATTTGGAAACAAGAAATACAAAGTGCCTTTTCCTCAGCACTGAGGGGTGGGGAGCTGCTTCCCTTTCCCCCCTCTGGGTCCTCAGGGCCCACCTCAGACATGGCTTTCTTTCTGTTGCTCCCCATTCCTGAGGCTCAAGGAGCATCACTTTTCTGTCTCCCAAGTTCAAGACCAAATCTGCTGTCTGCCCACACCTTCATTTCCCTGTTTTTTTTTGCTGTAACTGGACCTGCCCCTAGGAACCAAACACCCTGGCTGGGCATGCCTCAGTCTTTCCTACCTCCATTAATTCCTTACATCTAAAAAAAAGAAATACAGTATTATAAATCATAGAATGCACTGGCAATGGGGGACTGAATTTAAAACTGAAAAGATAAGTTGTATATGGCATTAAATTCCATGAAAAGTCGCTTGATCTTGGGGTGAAAAGTGAGAGAAGAAATATTAAAGGGATATTTGTATCCACCAAAATCATGATCAGACTGTAGTTTAGAGAGAGAACTCTGATGAAAGGATCATGCCAGGTGGGAATAGCGTTGTGACACACTGAAGTAATTATGAGAGCAATGCTACTGTTTAAGAAAGAAAGACATAGAATGAAACAAAGCAATAAAGAGGAGGGATTCACACTATGTTTCAAAGTGAGCAGAGATAGGAATTAGACTTGCTGTGAAGAGAGGAAGATAAACGCACCCAAGAATAATCATGCCATTTCTAACGTAGGTGACTAGATGGGTGTTGTTTTGGTGGTGGTGGTTAATGTGTTATTGAGTCAAATATGACTCATAGTGACCCTATGAACAAGGCTCCAGACTGGAACCTCACCATTTGGCCTCCAGCACGTGCAAGCTAGAGAGCTCATTATTAACTGAGATAGAAAAAAGAAAACAAAAATGTTGGGGTATCTTTGAGTCATCAGGATAAAATAGCAGATTATAAGTGCCCACCTGGAGAAAATGAAATGACATCTAAATTGGAATGTAAAAATAGAAAATAAATTTTTACTTTTTCAACCATAACAAGTCATTACTTCTTAACGATATGGTCAAATTTTATATCATCCCAAGATTAAAAACTTAAAATATGATACAAACCTTCTACATTCTTCCAGAAGAGCACAAATATTTAAAGCCTGTGTATGGTGCTTCATTCTTGCCAATAGAAATGATCAGAAAAAAGCATGCTTGAGTTTATAAGGATGTAGAAGGTAAAAAGGGAAAGGACATTTCTTTCAATTGTTTCTAGTTTTGACCCAAAAAGCCTTCTACAAGAAGTGAGTAGAACCAACAAGGTTTAGCAAGGTCATAGATAAAGCTGTATCACACTGCAGACATGGCTGTTTACCAGTAAGAGCTGGGGTAGTTTGAGAGTTATGAGAAGAGGGACAAATGGAAAGGAACATACAAGTTACCTTCAACATCACAACTCAGGTAGTTACGCACTTCATTCAAAATGAAGTTGATGTCTTCTTCAGAAGGAATAGGATGGTGTGTAATACCCGTTGCAGTATCAGTAGTGCCAGCTATCGTCATCTTTTGCCAAGGTAAGAAGAAAATAACTCGCCCATCACTGGTGGCTGGGTCAAGAAGTCCCATACTCTCTGGGCTGAAGGAAAAAGAAAGATTATTTCTTTCTAAATCAGAGGAGCATTAATCTTAAGCATCATTATCAAGATGATTTCATTCACTGATTTTCAAATAAACAAGAAACACACACAGTAACACATTTACTGCTTATATGCTAATTTAGAAATCCTTAATCCCTAAAAGGAGAAAAAAAAAATTGGCTAAAAAAAAATGGAGCAAAATCAGCTTCCAGGTGTTTTTATTTTTCTCTCCCTAAGGCCATTCACCTCGGATAAGTCAGCAGGACAAATATCTTTAACTATTTTTTTATGGTAGTTTATTAAGAATAGCTCTTCAGACTTTTCCAAATCTATGAAAAGCATTTTCTTGGCACATCTGACATTTCACACATCTCTCTGTAGAAAGTCTGAAGAGTACATGAGAAAGTAAAGGGCCTAAGTTTCTAGAAAGTAAAATGTAATCAAAAAGTTCTTTACTCCTTGGTGCTTAGGTGATCTTGGGCCACTTCACCAAATGTAAGGCTTCTTATTTTATTTCAAGGGTACAGAAATATAAAGTACATCCATGAGAAAAGAGCTCAGCCTCACACTATAACCTAAATAACAATGTGCCAGGATAAGGTCAAAAGGAAGAAAACTTAAGCAATGAACAGACTTAAATAGACAGAAGACACCAGTGATTTATACCATTAAGCCCAAGGTTCAAGAGTGCCTCTTTTGGCAGATCATATAAAACCTTCCAAAACAGCAGTCAAGATTTTTCACTGACATATTCTTGACATTCTGAAACCAGATTATAAAATGCTCTTAAAAGAATAAGCAAGTGAAAATAAGCATTAACAAAATAATAAGATTTTGTTTTCAAATCGCTAGAAAGTACTATTTTAATATAGTCATCAGCCTTTTGAGAAGTTTTGCAGATGTTTTAAAAGATATGGGAGGGAAAAAGTATATATATTTTATCAACTTTGTATATAAACCAGCATAAAATTTTAAAAAAATTATGTGAGGAAATAGAACGTGTCATATTCAGAGAGAGTAATATAAATCTTTAGTTGATTCAACTCCATTTTCAATTATATCAATATTAAATGTGTTTTCTGTAAATACATTGCTAGTTTTTATTACTACAATGTCAATTTCAATTGAACAAATGTCAAGAAATCTCTTTTCTGCCTATAAACTTAGAAGAGCATCATCAACTATGGATATTAGTTAAAATACATTTTTATCTATCATGATTGATTCAAATAGGAAAGGATGAGAAACTAAGAAGTATTTTAAAAGAAGCAAATTTTTTAAATATAAAAATGAAATTAAAAAAAAATGAAATCTAAGGTTGGCTTGCTGGGCCCTATGAGGAGACTTGTGGCATCAGGATTGGAGGCAGACTCATCATCAATCTGCATTATGCAGATGACACAACCCTGCTTGCTGAATCTGAGGATGACCTGAAGCACTTGCTGAAGAAGGTCAAGGACTGCAGCCTTCAATATGGATTGAAGATCAATGTCAAGAAAACAAAGATTTTCACCACTGGGCCTACTGACAGGATCATAGTAAATGGTGAAGAGACTGAGATTGTTGACAGCTTCAGTTTGCTTGGCTCTATAATCAACACTCTTGCCACCAGCAGCCAGGAAATTAAAAGATGGATTGCATTGGGAAAGTCTACTGTCAGAGACCTCTCCAGAGTACTAAAGAGCAACGATGTCAGTCTGGAGACTAAGGTGTGCAATTATTTGTTATGCATCAGGGAGAGGGACAATGACTAGGGATGACAGAAGGAGAGTTGATTGATGTCTTTGAGCTTTGGTGCTGGAGAAGAGTACTGAATATACCATGGACTGTTAGGAGAACAAACAAGTTCATCCTGGAGAGGGTGGAACTGGGCTGCTCCTTGGAAGCAAGGATTCTGAAACTTTGTCTGATATTCTTTGGACATGCTGGAAGGTGGGATCAGTCCTTGGAGAGGGAAGTCATGCTTGGGACGGCGGAGGGATAGCACAGGGGAGGAAGATCCTCAATGAGATGGACTGATTCCGTCACTGGGGTAATAGGGATAGTTGTCAGAGACAATGATGCTGGCAAGAGATAGAGCAGAGTTTAGGGCTATTGTACATAGGGTCGCTATGAGTTAAAGGCAACTCAATAGGACATGCCAATAACAACAAAAGGTTGGCTAAGAGAATACACATTCATCACTTAAAATTATCTCAGTGCTAAGCAATCTGTGCCTTGTTTGCTCAGCCTTTGCAGAAGGGACTCACTTTACAACCTTCTTGGGCCACAAAGAAGTCAGTTCTACTCAGCAAAAAGTAAAAGGTGTTATGCAAGTTTGTCAATTATTTAGACAATCAGTTGCAATTCCACCTTCGCTCATAGCTATTTAGAGAAATTTCTTTCCTTCTAATATTCAATACTCAACTGGAAATTATTGAGTATCTGGTTTTTTCCCATCTCCATATGACTATTACCCTTTCTAGAGATAGAATCGTCCTAAAACTCACTCAAAATCTTAAGAGAAATTGGTCATCATGTGCTTTGATTCTTGGATGATAACTTCTTAGGTTAAGCTTGTCACTTTAGGATTTTTAAATCAATTCAGAGTTCAAGTATTCACTGTGAAAAGCAGTTCCATATTGAATGAAGCACATGGGTGAATTCTACATTCCAAAGCCTAGAAAGAAACCTGTTTGTTGATAAACATAGTCATTTTATGATATGCCTAAAAATTCACTAAAACTAATAAAGCACAAAATTGTTATATTCAACCACCTTCACATAAAATACTGTGAGAAATGCACAACTATTGAATCATTTAAAATCTTTCAGTGCAATAAAAACTGTTTAAAGGGTGAAGGTGATGTTTACCAATACACACATAAATGGAAACTGAGAGATGCAACTGCTTAAGTGAAGACATATGTGTCAAACATTAAAATTAACAAGCACATAGGGAGAACAAGGCTATTAAAGAATGGTATAAAAATTTAAGAATCCGCTTGGATATACAATTTGTAGTTCTAATTACCTAATTCGTAGTCTTAGCAGAAAAGTTTGTCGCCTATGAGAGACTAACTTTGCAAAGTTTGACCATAGATAACAATTACAGTACATACAACTTGGTCATATCATAATATGTATGCTCATTTGACATTAAGAGATAGTTTACTGTCCACTTATGTGTGTGTAATGAACATTTTTGTCACGAATACCACAACTTTCCTGAATTGTCCTTATTTAAATGTAAAGAAATTTATTGTTAACTATTTAACAATCAGTGTTAGAACTAACAGGGTGCAAACATTTTATAGAGTGGGAAAAATGATCTCTTGTCAGTATTAAACACTATCAAGAGGCTCAAAGAAGATGATTATCTTCATGTATTTTAGTCATTTAAGAATTCTGCTGCTTTTTTAAAGCTACAACATGAAAAAAAAAAATCCCAAACTTGCTCTTTATATAAACTAAAGATTGCCTTTAAAAAAAAAAAATCTGTGTTTTGAGTTTTCCAAAGTTAAAACAATAAAAAAGCTACCATTGCATAAGATATCTTCACACATGAAATGTTACTAGGATCATAATAAGCTGAGTAAATATCATAAAGATACTTCTAAAAGCTGCCCAGCAAGAGACAGGAGGTTCTCATTCTTCATTTAGCAGCCAGCACTCAAAATGAGTAGTGACTGAACTCACAGCATTTCCAAACTAAACAGCTTCTAGATTAAATGTCTGGGGGCCTTAACATCAGCCAGTTCAAGGGTGGCTCCAAGTCTAGACTATTTCTGGGTCTCTACGAAGCTCCTGTTTAACATTCTTGACTCAAAACTGTTGAATATGGCTGACTGATGAGCTCAACAAGCCATGTTGGTCTAAAATCGCCAGATTATCCCCAAGAGAATGACTTGAATGACTTGATAAGAGAGTAAACTCATGCCTACCATGACATGCCAGAGTCATGCTTCAGAGCAGTGCAAGGAAGAAATAAAACTTCTTTCAGACCACACACCCAAAAGGGGGCTCATCTGAAACAAAATCTAAATGGGGCCTGGGTTGTAGATCATTTCATTAAGGATTCAAATTAGTTTTGTGGTTGTAGTTTATAATGCTAATAACAGGCATAGTGATTTTTTATAAAGTAGAACAAGATTATTTACCACAACTTTGATTGAGGCAGATGCAGCTGGGTCTAATAGTTTCATAATTAATGGGAAGGGTGCTCAAAACCAATGCCAAGTTTTTTTTAGGACTAATAAAATAATTTTGTTTTAAAAGCACTGCATATTAGTGACAGATAATAATTACAAGATCTATTTACTACTTCAATAAACACACAAAGTATAATACAAAATAATATGCACTAAATGATCTCTTTCCTGTAGAAATGTTAAAAGTACATTTATTTGTATAAGTATAAACATAAAAATTTTATAGAAGTAGTCAGAAGACATGACCAGAGAAGAACAAGAATTGAAGCAAACAATGTATACGAACTTTGTAAGTAAACCAATATAAAATTTTTTAAAAAGAGGAAAGAAAAAAAAATAAAAAAGAAGCGAGTATCCTGATGAAAGGGAGAGGCTTTCACTTTTCATGTGTGTCTATTTTTTGCGTTTCTATGGTGATTAAAATTTCTGGTAAAGTACTTGTTGCTGAGTATCACTGAGTCAGAACTGACCCACAGTTGAGCCTTCAGCAGGTTTTCTGAGGCAGTTAATTAACTGGGAGGAGATTCATCTTTCTCCTACGGAGCACCTAGTGGATTCAAACCACATCCTTCAGGATTACAGCACAGATTTTTACCACATACTTTTATTGTAATTTGTCTATACAGGTTAGCAGAGTAGTAGAAATTATTTTAAACATGAAAACAAACTCAGATACTGTAAATCCTCTCTAAAAAAATAACCTCAAACTTTTATTATGGGACCCTGATGGCAAAGTGGTTCAGCTTTAATGTCCCACTGCTAAACTGAGAGTGTGTCATTTCACAAGCAATAGATGTGACAGTCTGTTTCCTTAAAGATTCTAGTCTCGGACGTCTTATGAGACAGTTCTACCCTTTTGTAAGGTCGCCTGGAGTCAGAATTGACCTGATGGCAGAAGATCTGGTTTAGTCATTTTACATTAAAATTTAATAAAAGCCAATGAATGAATGAAAACTCAAACTTTCTGTAAACTTTCATTAAAACCACATTTTAAAAAAATAACAAAAGCAACCTCTAAATTTAAACTAGTTAATACACAAATCATTTAACAGATATTCATTGATAAGCAAAAACTGTCCATAGAGATTGGGATCTAGGGATTAACTACACATAAAAATAATTTAAAAATATACTGTCTGCGGGGAAAGGATGGGCAATCTCTTCCCGTGCAATTAACTACCTCTGAAAATCAGCTAGAGCTTCAACTATGGGTTGGTTTTGACCCTATGGTTAGATTAGGAATTAGATGTTCAAAGCCATTTATCCAAAGTCACAGTAAGCAAGAGGTCATGAGAAGACCAAACCGGCATGTTTTTAAGGTACAGCCTTCACTTTATCTATGCATTCTAAGAGCAGAATGTCTTCCTGTTTTTACATAGAGAGAACTAGAGTTCACAGAGTAATGTCGCCTGTTCCAAGGGAAATGATTAGTAAATGAGGAATTAGCATAAGGCTTCTGAGGAATAATAAGTATTCTTTGACATCACAAACAATAGAGAAGGAACCCAAAGACACATCTACAAGAGAATTTGTAGAGCGTGGCAGAGCTCGAAACAATTATCAGAGATTATGATGCTGTGTGCATCTACAGTTTAGGTATTCCATCTATATTCTTATAGATGTTCATCGGTCCTTCATTGCCGGAGAGTCAGAACTGACTCATAGCTAATCTTCCAAGGGGCTTTTAAGAGGCTGTAAATCGCACAGGATGAGATGGCTCATCTTTGTCACTTAGAGCTACTAGTGGATTCAAATCACGACAGAGTGCCACCTTTGGGTTAGCCATGCAGCTGCCTACTGACAGCATCGTAGACAAACACAAAATTTATAAACTGGATGCCTGCAGGTATTTTTAACCCAAGACAGAACAAATGTATACAATTTGCCTGGCACTATCATTGAAAATCTCTCTATACACAAGAAGCATATGTGACATTTACATATTTTTACTCCTCTTTTCTTCATTTAACTACATGTCTTCTGCTAAATAATAGTATTGTTTGGGGGTTTGGTTTTGTTTTGTTTTAACTCTACTAGATATCACTTCAACAACTTTTATTATTATTATTATTTGGGAATACATTGTTTTACCTAGTGCAGCGTGCAAAGTAACTTTTATGTTAAGTATTTACAGAAAAGGAAGTAATTTACTTTAGAGTTAGTGGATTAAAAATTATCTTTAGTAATTTTTACAGTTTAAATGCATTTGGCACTACATCATGCATCTTCAGGAACATTTCTTTAGTTACTGGTGAACCAATAAAAAATAAGGCAATGTCATCTACAATTTAGACAAACAGCATTCCAGGAGAACATAGGTAGTATGCAAATATCACAGATTCTTCCCATCTATTTTAACAACTGTTAAAGCCTTTATGTGTCCCTTAGGGAATTCTGGTAGACTAGTGGATAAAGAATTGCACTGCCAACTCAAAGCCATGTAGGTCAAGTTTACCAGCTGCTCAGCAGAAGAAAGGCAAAACGCCCCCATGAAATTTAAAGCCTCTGAAAAGTTGGTTCTAACTTGAGGTCACACAACAATAATATCTTTAATGGAAAAGTATTAAAATATGAAATAAAATCACTCTTATCCATAACCGTATTATGTAGAAATAATTATCATTCATTATTACCCTTAAACACACCACCTAGAAAATGTAACATATTTCTTTCCATTCTTTTTTTCTATATTGACATAATCTTTAGATCAAACTGCATATATAAGCTTGTTATAAAGTCTAAACTAACAACGGTATCATTACTGTTTGGTTAGGATATTAAAGTTGTTTATAATCATAATTTTTCTTCACTATCCCTTATGTGGGCCCTGACTTGGCGGCAATGGGTTAGTTAACCCTTGTGTGGATATGCTATAATAACCTGTTCCACTAACGCTGGAAACTAAAATGACTTCTAATATTTTTCCATTATATTTAATGTCATAATGACTAACTTTGTACATAAATTGCTACATACAAAATTATTAGATAACATGGGAAAACTACTATATGTAGAAATAAAAATGATATACACATTTCATATGCTTAACATGAGTTTTGGCTGCTTTTTGTTTATCTGTGTCTTTTTCTTTTTAGTCTTGAGGTATATATTAAGGCTAAATATTACTGATCTTTAAACTGGAACCATATTGATGTTTCTTTTATCTTATTACAAATTCTAAATCACTGATCAAAATCAAGAGACCAGAATTATAAACCCCCATGCACCCATCATCTTGCTTACATGATTATTAATCGTCATTTTTTCTTTTCATCCTCATACCTCCCATTTCTCTCTCCAATGATCTTTGTTAATTGAACACGCTGAAAAATTATATCTGATTGCTACTTCTTATCCCTTACTAAACGCATTTCAACATTATGTAACTATATGGATGGCCCACTTTTTCAAATTCTTCATCAGCAGGATACTTACATTTCACAAAATTAATTTTTAAAGCTTTCATGTAAATTATTATCAATAGTGGTGAAATTTTCTTTCCAGAGGTTATTATACTGGATAAAGTAAACATATAAATAGATTCCAAATTATTAACCATTAGATGAGTATTGTCCTACATGGCTAAAAAATTCCCAAGTTTAGCTTGTGGCTGGTATTTTGGAAGAGTACTTTACTTCCTTCTCCTCATTCTCTCAAAGCTAGCTAGACCATCGACTATTAAGAAAGGTATGCTACCAGAATAATTCAAGCAGACACACCCTCTTGTTGATCCTCACTCCTCAGCTCTGACCACCTGGTGGAACACTGTTACCTGTAATAGCCGGGCATCACAATGTGGACACCAGCGCTGGGCTGGCAGATCTCGGCGGCACCTTTATCATCCATCTTACGCACCGAGTCTGTGAAAGGTCCTGTGGCATTGATAACACATTTAGCTCTCACATCAAATTCCTGCCCTGTAAAAGAAAGCGGCATCAATCACAGACCACATTTGTTTCTCTGCTCACTGAGGCTTTGGATTATTAATTCATCTATTAATTTAAACTATGGTGCAGTATATTGTGCACCCCTCTAAGTGACACAAGCAGCCGGTTATTGAAAAGTCAAACAAAATGCCTGCATTTGACTAAATTTACCGTAAGCAAATACAAATTTGAGAGTGGTGGGAAGGGGCTAGGAAGCATTTCACCCTTTCACTCCAGCTCTCAGTTTATATTTTGTGAAATGCTCAGTATCAAGGTATCAACATAAGCCATGTGTATAATAAGACTAAAATTTGTAAATAAGAGGTGTGGTGAGACTGTATTCTCAAAGGACTGGTTTTCTTCAAGAAAATGATGTCACTCTGAAGCTTTGCCTCCATGGTCATAGAAACAGGACAAGAAAGGAAATTTCACCAAAGTTACAAGTGATTGACTTTAACGACATGCAAATGCACTGCCAATGTCACCTAAATGATACTCTGAAACTTGGCACATTTATTTAATTTTATTAATAACATGTTTCTATACAGGACACAGACTGCCTTCATAGCTGTGGGTACTTTGTGGGCATTTATTATGATCATTATCATCACTGAACACAAAGAGAAGAAATTGCCAAGTCCCATAAGGGAGAATTTTCATGTTAAACCAGTCATTGTTGACAATAAGGAATATAATTAGTATGGCTCTGAAGGGTGACTAAAAATGAAAGAGAAGTGACAGAAAAATTAGAATTTAGTCATTATAGAAGCAAGGCAGGATGGTAAGAAATAAATACCTCCCTAGCAGGGACCCTAGCAATTCATACCTGTGAGCACATCTTTGCACCGGGCCCCGCTTACACGCTCCTTCCCTGTCTCAGGGTCTGTCTTCTTGAGCAAACTCACGACCTCCATGTAATTGGCTGTGGCAGCCCCGTACCTGGCAGCAGTGAGAGCAATGGCAAGGTTCATCCGTGCATCGTTGTGTTGTCCTGCAGCGGAGAAAGCATCAGAGGAAGGACAGGAGTCACCTCGAGCCAAAGACTGGTGGTAGAGAAGTGTGTCACAATAGATATGTCACATCTGCATCTGTCACCCACAATCTACATGATGGCTGGTCAACTCTGTAGGGGACTATGCAAAAATTTCTGGTCATACTCAGTCAGGCATTTACCTGCCATTTCAGCTTCAGCGAGTGCATTTTGTATACTTCAAAAATGGTAAAAAATATTCCTTTCCTACAAAGCTAACATCAATGATCTGAAAGTTAAGAGAGAAGTCATTATTCTCTCAGTGCGAGAACATATGTATATGTCAGACTTTCCTCAATACAGACAACCAGTAAGCATGAAAGCAAAGCAATTGAAAACTTTGGAAGATTTGACACTCCAACTGGTGATGATTAACAATTTTTATGAGAATGTGCTCTATCTAATATTCAAAATCAAGAGCTTCAAATTCCATGGTGAATCTCAGTGTTCTAGAAAAGGCATTTTCTGGGTTTTAATTTTGATCAGAGCTACTTAAACTGTAACTCCCCCCCCCTCCAAATCACATATAAAAGGTAAGACATTAAGCAGGGCAAAATTTAATTACAGAACAATTCCTACCTGTATTGTTAAAGATTTATTACCGAAAAATCCTAGTTAAAGAAAACTAAGGGGGAGCAGGAGGGGCGAAAGATGATTAATCACTTTAAAATACTGGCATCACTAGAGACTTTTTCTATTTATTATTGCCAGTAGAGTTAATGCTGACCAGGAAGAATTATTCTACATCACAGGGGCCAGATTCTCTGTGCCCTGAATAATTAATTACCCACAGCTAGATGTATTGAAGTAGGGTTCAAATTCCTAGAACGCTGGGATCAGTTCTATCAAGATAATACTGATAACAGGATGGATTTGTAATGGATATTGTTGTTGATTTATGTTGCCAGCATACCAAACATTTAGTATAAATGGTTTATGTAAAGTTTCTTCCTTGTGATTCAGCCTGTGTAGGGCGAGCAGCACTACACAAGTAATCTATTCCAGCTAAAAGGGCAAAGTTATAAAGAGAGAATCAATGACTGAAGATTCTACTGCCCCTCCCCACCAACATCTTACTCTGAAACTGCTGAACTAATACAATCATCCAAGAACCTTTCCCCCAAAATTAAATGCTCTATCGAGTGGAGAACATGCATTAAGCTTCAACATGCAGAATAAGGAGCTATTTTATCAAAAAAGTAATAGAATGAAGATATGAGACCACAAAAGGAGAAACCAAAACCACACTGTGGCTGAATTAAATGTGGAAAATAACAAGGGTAGTAATTCTATCCCTTATAACATAAGCATCACCCTAAGTTGCTGGTAATGTAGTTAGAAGAAACATTTAAAGTTAAGAAACCAACTTTTATTGAGGTAAACAAAGCAAAACCAAACCCAGTGCTGTGGCATCGGTTCTGACTCATAGGATCCTCTACTGGGAATGGCTGGTATAGCTGCTGACTTTTTAGTTAGCAGCAAAATAACACATCATGTTACCAGGGCTCCTTTTAGCAATGCTGTTGTTATATGCCACTGAGTTGGAAATGACTCATAACTGACCCTCCAGAATATTAACAGAGGCTGCAAATCACATGGAAGGAGATCATCCATCTTTCTCCCCTGGAGCAGTGTTTCATTTGAACTGTGTGCTTTTGAGTTGGCAGCACAACTCTTTATCCACTAGGCCGCCAGAGCTCCCTATTATTGTTATTGTAGTTATGGGCTGTCAAGTTGACTCAGGCTCATAATGACCATATATACATCTGCCCCCATTACCCCAGTCACTGAGTTAATCCATGTCATTCAGGGTCATCCTCTCTTGTGCTGTCCCTCCACCCTCCCAAGCATGATGTTCCTCTCCAAGGACTGGCCCTCCTTGCAACATGCCCAAAACATGTCAGACGGAGCTTCAAGACTCTTTTATTTCCAAGGAGCAGGCAGATTTCATCTACTCCAGAGCAAACTTGTTTGTTCTCTTAGCAGTCCATGGCGTATTCAACACTCTTCTCTAGAAAGTCCTTATTTAAAATACGAATATGCTCCATGCAGTTAAATGCATGCATAGTCCAGATTAACTAAATTATAATTATACTAATCTTCTCTTCAAATGCAGAACATTATACAATATCTATTTTTCAAAGAGAAACTACCCAAGTCCTTCTAGTATCCAATCTTTATAGTAGATTTATATCCATAGCCATGAAACAATCTACTCAGTACAGATAAATATTTTGTAGTACAAGAAGTCAGGGCATGTTTGTTCTCACCATAGGTGTACAACAGAGAAAATCCAGTCCTTTGAAGAGTACTCTGATATATAAACAGAACAAATGTCTGGAAAATGTTATGTAAATGAACTATTCTAAATACTACATGGAGCCATTTCTAAACGGAACAAGTCAGAAACTCCATTTATCAAATGATAGATTCCTTTTCTATTTACAGTTGAAGGAAACACAATTCTAAACTTACTTTGAAAACAGAACATTTTCCTTACATTTAGATATAAAATCTTGCAGGAGTAGTAATGGCAGAGTTTATCAAAGCGTTTCAATTTATACTAAGAAATGTCTTCCTACTTAGCTTTCCAGTTCAAATACTACAGAAGGTAGACAGTTTAAAAGGCAAGTGGAGGCAAATTCCTTGGGTCTCGTTTTCCTCCCCAACACTCAGCGCTTGGTTGTATAAGCATTTACATGAATTATGTGTCTTTCTTATTTATGAAGGTTCTTCATGACAAAGTTATTCATTCCTTCTCCTGGCTCAACAGTTTATCTTGCACATTCCTTTTTCATTGTCTTTAGGATACTATGTTCATTTAAACATTTACTTAAAGAAAGAATAAGGGTCTACTTGAGCCAGGTACTGTGACATAAGCTAAAAATACAATGAGCAGAAAGACACAATGGGGCTCTGTCCTTGTGGGATTGACAGCCCACTGCATTTCACAGTAGGGGAGCGCTGGTGGCAATGGTCATAAAGTATTGAAGTAGTGGGTGGCTAACCAAATGGTTGCTATTCAAATCTGACAGCTCCTCTGAAGAAGATGGGCACTCTCCTCCTATAAAGATTTACAGACTCAGAAACCAGTTAGAGGGTCTCAATAAGTCAGAATTGGCTTGACAACAGCGGGTTTGGATTTTGATGGGGTTTTTTTGTGGTTTGTTTTATTTTGCATTTGTTGTTGTTGAGTGCTGTCAAGTTGGGCATGACTTAACTGTATTATTATTTCACTTGTTTCCTCATCTCAGTCCTGGAGAAGCTAAAAAAATCTACTCATTCATTCTCCCTCCACAACTCCCTCCCTTGAGACTTGAAGTACCAGGCACAGAACAGGCTCTAGTAAACACTGAGTTTGGTGTCCTTGTTGTTGTTGATGTCTACCATTGAGTTTTCTACCATTGAGCTGGAACTGACCCATCGCTGACCCTCCAGAAGGTTTTCAGAGGCAGTAAACTGCACAGGAGGAGAATGTCCATCCTTCTCTCTGGAGCAGCTGGTGGATTTAAACCATGTGACTTTGAGATTTCTGTGTAAGTCCTTAGCAGAAGGCCACAACGGTTCAAGTCCATCGAGGAGGCAGAAAATCCTGGCCATTTATTTCTGAAATAGCAGCCAATGAAAACATTATAGCGCATAGTTTTATCCTGTCCACTTTGGATCATCATGACTCACAGAAGATTTCATGTCAACTGTTCATTTTAAGTGTTGAGTTTAGCCAAATTCCATTTATAAACAAGTATTTAAATTTAAAGCCTTATCTCAAAAAAGTGAATGCTTTATCTTCTGTTAAAGAAACTCCTGCATTCAGAAAATCAGTAGCAAGAAATGGGGGTTCTGGGGGAGAGCATAACAGCACACACAGTGCAGGAAAAACACCCAGAAATGTGTAAAATCACAACTTAAACCCAAGCAACCCTTCTATGTAATCTGAGTAAGGAAGGAAGGAGGCATAGTTACCAGTGATTTTACCCTACTGATTAACCTTGCTATGCAGGAGAATGTAAACGCAGTTACTATAAAATCACAAAAATTGTGGGGCAAGAAGCTTGACCTCTCCCTAGGCTAGGCGTTCACACTCCCATGCAGTCATCTCCTTCTTTATATACTTTCAACTTGATCCATTTACTGCCTTGAATTTCAGTTAGACTTCCTCCTCCCTTACCCACATTAAATTCACCCTTTACCCTGAAATACCCAGATGCTCACAGTATATGGTTCCTGGGATAAGTGGTATATTTTCATTATTCTTAACTAAATTCCCCCAGCCCCCTTTTTCTTGACATTTTGAAAGGTATCTCTATGCTGCCTATAATTTTATTTCTGGAGAAAAAAGTTTTTGACAGCACTGTATGTCATTGGAATGTGATATAATCATCTCGACTCCCCCCATCCCAATTGATCTGCTTATCCAGTTTGGATTTTCAAATCCGTCTCCTTAGAGCCAGGCAACATTATACTGTATTTTCACTGATCAGTGCAGAGCTTTACATTGGCACTGGCACAAAGACCCAGACGGGGACCATGAAAATCTGTTCTCTGCTCTGTTCTCCTTTTGCACTTGAAATCTTACATATGTGCACATACTGAGCTTACAATTCATAGAAGAGGAAGCACACGAGAGGTGGAAGTATAACTGTTTTCCCTTGTTTAGAAAAACAACATCTCAAAATCCCTAGAGAGGAAATTTGCCTTCATCTTCAATGTCCTTCCATATTGGATAGTCAAGAGGTATTTTAAGTGAAAAACACATGACCACACATATTTTGAGACACAGGCATCTTTAAGTTACTTCTCAAAGATAAATATTTTGGAGACATAGCAATATTGCTCTCCTCAAAAAGTCAAAGTTTGGCAACTCCTGTATTTTCCTGCATATAATACACCCACATAAATAATGCACACAGCACACACAGGAAACTAATGTGTTAGCTAGGGGGTTAAACAGTTTGTAAAAA